ATTGATTGCAATAGCAAGAAGATAAAGTGCTTCTGAGGACATTTTGCTAGTAAAACTAAATTACTGTGTTGCAAAATGATGCATGCCTAAAATGTGTGTCACCAGGATGAAATGTTTGGTCTAGGGTGTGAATCCATGATAATACACTGAGGATGCTTGCCATAGATGCAGGCGAAACGTCAGGAGAGAATGCCTCTAGAACATGGCCATATAGCCCGAAAAAACCTACAACAACCCAGTGATTCCGACCATGCAAGTCAAAGGCTTCCATGGCCAGAATCACTGGGTTGTTGTAGGTTTTTTCGGGCTATATGGCCATGTTCTAGAGGCATTCTCTCCTGACGTTTCGCCTGCATCTATGGCAAGCATCCTCAGAGGTTGTGAGGTCTTGACAGGTTTGGTTTCTGGAAGCAGAGGGACTTCGGGATGGAAACAAGGGGCCCCTTGTTACTGTACTTCATATGTAATTTAGGCCCCTTCTGTAGTGCCATATAATCTAAGTTATCGAAGCAGATAATTCACATTATCTGCTTTGAATTTGGTTGAGTCTACACTGCCATATAAGCCAAATCAAAGCAGATAATCTGGATTTTATATGGCAGTGTAGAAGGGACTTGGGCCCCTTCCACACAGCTGAATAAAATCCCACAATATCTGCTTTGAATTGTAATACATGGCAGTGTAGACTCAGGGCCCTTCCACACAGCGGTATAACCCAGAATATCAAGGCAGAGAATCCCACAATACCTGCTTTGAACTGGGATATCTGAGGCCACACTGCCATATATTCCAGTTCAGAGCAAATAATCTGGGATTTGGCTGTGTGGAAGGGGCCTTAGATAGCCCAATTCAAAACAGATATTGTGGCATTTTCTGCCTTGATATTTTGGGTTATGTGGCTATGTCGAAGGGTCCTGAGATTTCAGAATTTACCTCTACCTATATAGGAATTTATTATTATATAGGACATTATTATTATTATTTGAAACACAACAAGATGAGTCCACAGCAGACACTCTGCTGGCTGTTGAATTGGATCACACATCGGACACTTCCCAAGTGTCTAGGACTGTGTGATGTATCGGCGAATAATGCGCGCAGATCCCAGTAAGGTGGCCTTCTGCAACTGGCAGATGGCAATTTTGTCAGCACTGATTGTGTTTAAGTGCAGGCCAAGGTCTTGAGGCACTGTACCCAGTGTGCCGATCACCACTGGGACCACCTTGACTGGTTTGTGCCAAGAGTCTTTGCAGTTCAATTTTTAAATCCTCATATCGTGTCAGCTTTTCCAGTTGTTTCTCTGCAATCCTATTATTATTATTATTATTATTATTATTATTATTATTATTATTATTATATTTTGAGTTATATGGATGTGTCGAAGGGCCCTGGGATCAGATCCTGGGATAAAGGACAGTGTACATCCAGCCTAAATTAAACTTTCTTCCCTTTCTTCATAGTCTATGCGCATGGCTTCCAGTGAACTATGCAACTCCACCCCCTGACCGTGTGTTTTTCCACTGGACAGACTTTTTGTAGGTCTTTTTTAAAAAAATAATAATAATCTGTTGTTCTAATTCAATATTTTCCCTCTCACTTCTTTCTTTGAAAAATCATGGTATTAATGTGCTTAACTCTGATACCCACTGAATCTTTGGGCCCTTCCAGACAGGCCCTATATCCCAGGATCTGATCCCAGGTTTTCTGCTTTAAACTGGATTATATGAGTCTGCATTGCCAAATAATCTAGGATAAACAGAAAGCCAGGAATCATATCCTGGGCTATAGGGCCTGCCTGGAAGAGTCCTTAGTCAAAAGGTCAAAGAGGCAAATAGTTTAGTCAGAGACTGAGAACACGATGAGAGTTTAATGAGTAAACTCTCATCATCCTCATTATTATCTGTACTCACTAGAGATGGTGCAACCCAACATCAGTGGGTCACACGTCTACACTCTTTGCTTTATGTAGCACTCTCAGTCTTTGCTGCGCATGGAAAAGAATAAGTTTTAAAAACTATTTTTGTGGGTTACAAAATAGCACACTACTTCGTTTTAAAATAAGCTTATTTGAATACATGTTGAATTTAAGCAAAATATATTTAAAACTTTTTCTAATAATGCTGGACACATAAATAAGTCCTTCACCACATAAGGAAGGAACCGACTTGTTGTGAAATGTCTACTAAATGTCACGTAGTAAAAATAAAATGCCTCTCTTATTCATGCTTGCGGTGAGTGATTTTCTCAATAACCTCTGAGTCAAAATTGCATTGGAATAAGGTAGTGGGGGATCTGGTGAGTTTTCCTTCCGATAGAAACAGGAAGAGAGAGCATCTTCCTGGTCTGATCATTCTCCCTATTTATTTATTTTTTTACTAGCGGTCCCCTGCCACGCGTTGCTGTGGCCCAGTCTGGTGATCTGGAAAATAAATTAATGAGAAAGTGTTGGTTTCTAATATATGTAATGTCTTTATGCTTGTGGGTAAACAGTGTTTCTTGCTGTTTCTTTGCCAGTGTTGATGTCTGGTTTACCTACTCTGGAATATGCAACATATCATTGTCCTTCTTTAGGGGTCCCTTTCAAATCTTTGATACTGCATCTGTCATATACATATATGTGTGTGCATGCGTGTGTGTGAATGGCTGGATGGCCCTTTGTCAGGAGGGCTTTGATTATATTTTCTTGCCCTGGTGAAGGGAGTTGGACTGGATGGCCTTAAGGCAGCATTTCTCAACCTGGGGTTTGGGACCCCTGGTTTCGGGTTGCGAGCAGGTGTGAGAAGGGTTGCCAAAGACCACCAGAAAACACAGTATTTTCTGTTGGTCATGAGGGTTCTGTGTTGGAAGTTTGCCCCAATTCTGTCATTGGTGGGGTTCAGAATGCTCCTTGATTGTAGGAGAACTATAAATGCCAGTAACTACAACTCCCAAATGCCAAGGTCTATTTCCTCCAAACTCCATCTGTGTTTAAATTTGGGCATATTGAGTATTCGTGCTAAGTTTGGTCCAGATCCATCATTATTTGAGTCCACGGTGCTCCCTAGATGTAGGTGAACTACAACTCCAAAACTCAAGGTCAATGCCCATCAAACCCTTCTAGTGTTTTCTGTTGGTCAGGGGAGCCCTGTGTGCCAAGTTTGGTTCAATTTCATCTTTGGTGGGGTTCGGAAAGTTCTTTGATTGTAGGTGAACTATAAATCCCAGCAACTACAACTCCCAAATGACAAAAGCATAATTTTTTGAGTGATGGTCACTCCTTGTGTTGAGACGTTTTGTTGCCAAATTTGGTGTGATTTCGTTCATTGGTTCTTTTGTTTTTAGGGTACTCATTACGCACAGAGCATTTTGATATATATAGTTTTATTTACAGTATTTATATTCCACCCTTCTCACCCCGCAGGGGACTCAGGGCGGATTACAATGTACATATACATGGCAAACATTCAATGCCATAGACACACAACATATATAGACAGATACACAGAGGCTATTTAACATTCAGCTTTTTCATGAGGGTATTCTGACCACTAGGGGAGCTGTTGCTTCACCGTCCATTTGTGACACTGATGAAGTACTTCCTCATTCTTTGCATGCTTACTGGAGATTTTTATGGCGTCGTAAATTAGCCTCCCCGCATAAGCGGTACCTAAATTTCCTGCTTGACAGATACAACTGTCTTTCAGGCTGCAAAGGTTGACAGCAAGCTACACAAATTGGTTGGAAGCTTGCTCCGACCTGGGCTGGCTTCGAAGTCATGACCTTTAGGTCAGTAGTGATCTTAATGCAGCTGACTCCCAGCCAGCTGAGCCACATTCCCTAAAGATTGAAATATTATTTATTTATTTATTTATTTATTTACTTTGCTTATATACCGCTGTATCTCAAGCCCGAAGGCGACTCACAGCGGTTCACAAACAGTAAAAACAGTAGAAACAGCAGTGGTTCCATACAACATATAACAATTGACTTAACACATTATCCATAAATTACCAATAAGCAATTACAATGCACAATTATTACAAAAAACAACCGTACTCAATCTTCTCATCATCCAAGGGTAGTCCAGGTTCGTTGTCCATTGTTCCATTCCTATGTTCCGTTACCAGATTGCACTAAATTACTCAAACGCCTGCACAAACATCCAGGTCTTCAACTTTCTTCGGAATGCCATGAGAGATGGCCCCAGCCTAATGTCTGTAGGAAGGGCATTCCACAGCCGAGGAGCCACCAACGAGAAGGCCCTATCTCTCGTCCCCGCCAACCGTGCTTGAGAAGCCGGTGGGATCGAGAGCAGGGCCTCCCCGGAAGATCTCAAAATCCTGGTGGGTTCATAGGCCGAGATGTGGTCGGAAAGGTATCTTGGGCCGGAACCGTTTAGGGCTTTATAGGCCAATGCCAACACCTTGAATTGAGCCCGGTAGCAAATCGGCAGCCAATGGAGCTGGCGCAACAGGGGGGTTGTGTGCTCCCTGCGCTCCGCTCCTGTTAGAATCATGGCTGCTGCACGTTGGACTAATTGAAGCTTCCGGACCGTCTTCAAGGGCAGCCCCACGTAGAGAGCGTTGCAGTAGTCTAGGCGGGATGTGACAAGAGCGTGGACTACCGTGGCCAAGATTGAAATATCTCAAAATCCTATGTGGAAACTTTGAAAGACAAAGGGAGTGGCAGTCAACGTATCCTGTGATTTTTGTCCTGTGTCAATAATGGAATCAGCTTGGGCAAGACTTTTCAAGGAGAGGAAGTTTACCGTATGACAGGAGCATTATGAACAAATACTATCACCTGAGGCACTATTTCTGGTTTCACAGGTTACATCAGTCTGAAGCTGTATCTTCAAAAAATGATGCTTAAGCCTTTAGGGCTAGATACTTGCTCATTAAAAAAAGGACAGATTTTCAGGATATTCCTTGCTGTCATGAATGAAAGCAAGGTCTGGTGACTGCTTGCGTACTTGATATTTCCAATGTTCTTTACTAATCACATTCCCTTCCTCTTTGCAGTGCGTTAACCAGTTACAATGGTGGGCGAAGACAATATATCTGTAAGGAATCGTCGATCAGCATACGGCACTCCGGAGGAGAAAAATGACTTGCCGAGGAGGCTGGAAGGAGACTGGTCACTCTCCGCCTCAAGCAACGGTGAGATCGCTTAGCTCAGGAGTCCTCCAACTAAGGCCTGAGGGCCAGATACAGCCCTCCAAGGTCATTTAACTGGCCCTCGCTCAGGGTCAACCTAAGTCTGAAACAACTTGAAAGTACACAACAACAACAACAATCCTATCTCACTATCCAAAATCAGGCCCGTATTGTTGTTGTTGTTGTTGTTGTTGTTGTTGTTATTATTATTATTATTAGGTTCTTGTAGGTTTTTTCGGGCTATAGGGCCATGTTCTAGAGGCATTTCTCCTGACGTTTCGCCTGCATCTATGGCAAGCATCCTCAGAGGTGACCTCACCTCTGAGGATGCTTGCCATAAATGCAGGCGAAATGTCAGGAGAAATGCCTCCAGAACATGGCTCTATAGCCCGAAAAAACCTACAAGAACCTAGTGATTCCAGCCATGAAAGCCTTCGACAATACATTATTATTATTATTTTACTGACAAAAACACAGTATGTCACAGCAAACGAGATCTATATGATGGATTTCGTATCACAAAATCACAAGTCGAACACTTCCCAAGCGTCTAGGACTGTGTGATGTATTTTAGAATGATGCACGCAGATCCAAGTAAGGTGGCCTTTTGCAGTTGACAGACCGTGATTTAGATTCATAGTTGGAAGAGACCTCAGGCCATCCAGTCCAACCCCCTGCCAAGAAGCAGGAATATTGCATTCAAAGCACCCCTGACAGATGGCCATCCAGCCTCTGTTTAAAAGCTTCCAAAGAAGGAACCTCCACCACACTCCGGGGCAGAGAGTTCCACTGCTGAACGGCTCTCACAGTCAGGAAGTTCTTCCTAATGTTCAGATGGAATCTCCTTTCTTGTAGTTTGAAGCCATTGTCCTAGTCTCCAGGGCAGCAGAAAACAAGTTCGTTCCCTGTGACTTCCTCTTACATATTTATACATGGCTATCATATCTCCTCTCAGCCTTCTCTTCTTCAGGCTTAACCTGCCCAGCTCTTTAAGCTGCTCTTCATAGGACTTGTTCTCCAGACCCTTGCTCAGTTTAGTCGCCCTCCTCTGGATACATTCCAGCTTGTCAATATGTCTCTTCAATTGTGGTATGGTTGCTGATGACACATACATAAATTCAATTGTGGTGCCCAGAATTGGAGACAATATTCCCGGTGTGGTCTAACCAAGGCAGAATAGAGGGGTAGCATGACTTCCCTAGATCTAGACACTATACTCCCTATTGATGCAGACCAAAATCCCATTGGTTTTTTTGCCGCCACATGACATTGTTGGCTCATGTTTAACTTGCTGTCCACGAGGATTCCAAGATCTTTTTTACACGTAGTGCCCTTGAGCCAGACGTCGATGTTTATTGTTTCCAAATGCCGGTTGAGATCTTTTGGCACGGCACCCAGTGCGCCAAAGACCACTGGGACCACCTGTAATGGTTTATGTCAGAGTCTTTACAGTTCGATTTTGATGTCTTGATAGCGGCTGAGTTTTTCCTGTTGTTTTTCCTTAATGCGACTATCACCTGGTATGGCGACATAAATAATCCAGACTTTTTTCTTTTCCACAATCGTGATGTCTGGTGTATTGTGTTCCCACAGTATTTTTGCATGTTCATTTTCAACAACCTTTGCGGGTTTATGATCCCACCAATTCTTTACTGTTGGCAGGTGGTACTTATTATTATTATTATTATTATTATTATTATTATTACTATTATACTACATTTATACCCTGCCCTTATCATCCCAATGGGGGACTCAGGGTGGCTTACATGGGAGTCCTGTGTGCCACGTTTGGTTCAATTCCAGCATTGGTGGAATTCAGAATGCTCTGATTGTAGGTGAACTACAAGTCCCAGCACCTTCAACTCCCAAATGACTAAATCAGTTTTGTTTGAGTGATGGTCACTCCTTGGGTTAGTAGGTGTCTAGTGTCCAAATTTGGTGTCAATTCGTCCAGTTGTTTTTGAGTTATGTTAATCCACAAACGAACATTACATTTTTATTTATATAGACTAGCCGTCCCCTGCCACACATTGCTGTGTATATGTGTGTGTAGATATTTGTGTATATGTGTATTTATTTATTTTATTTATTTATTTTTATTTATCGAGTCATCAGCAACCAGTCAATTATATTACATTTCTAACAGAACAAAGCAAACAAACAGACAAAATACAAAAATACAAAATACAGAATACAAAATTTGTGAGTTTGGTAGTTGATTAGATGTCCTTTGACCAGTATCTGGCCACTTGGGAGTGCTTCTGGTGTTGCCGCAAGAAGGTCCTCCATGGTGCATGTGGCAGGGCTCAGGTTGCATTGCAGGAGGTGGTCAGTGGTTTGCTCTTCTCCACACTCGCATGTCGAGGATTCCACTTTGTAGCCCCATTTCTGAAGGTTGGCTCTGCATCTCGTGGTGCCAGAGCGCAGTCTGTTCAGCACCTTCCAAGTCGCCCAGTCTTCTGTGTGCCCAGGGGGGAGTCTCTCATTTGGTTGAGGTTCTGGGTTTGAGCCTGCCACTTTTGGACTCTCGCTTGCTGAGGTGTTCCAGCGAGTGTCTCTGTAGATCTTAGAAAACTATTTCTAGATTTAAATCGTTGATGTGCTGGCTGATACCCAAACAGGGGATATATGTGTATATATGTGTGTTTGTTTGTTTTTAACATTGTGATTGTGTTTATTGTAATGTTATATTGTTAATGTATTCATATGTTTTTATGTAATTATGATGTTGTTGATTGTTGCTTCTGTTTCGGTTTTATTTTGCTGTAATATGGCCTCATGTAAGCCGCCCCGAGTCCCTGTTGGGGAGATGGTGGCGGGGTATAAATAAAGATTATTATTATTATTATTATTATTATTATTATTATTATTATTATTATTATTATACATATGGTTTGTTTTGCACACGTGTTGCAGAGGTGTATTGTGTCCAAATTTGGTGGCAATTCCCCCAGTGGTTTTTGAGTTCAGTTAATACCGCAAATGAACATTACATTTTTATTTATATAGATAAAGCGTTTTTATTTACATAAAAAGGGATGGGATGGGCTTTGCTTCTTATCACCAGCTGAGTTGATGCCTGCAATACAAGAGGGTTGTGCATTGTGTGGCTGGAGTTGAATTAGGTCTTTCCTTAGCGCACAATGAAGAGCACTGTGATGGGGATATGTTGTACTTCTCTTTTGAAGGGCCTTGAAAATGCCTTTGTCATTGACTCAAATGGTCTTGGGTTTCAACCAAGTGACTAATCTGTGTTAAAGGGCAGAGCATGTGAGATCTTTGTCTTCTAGCCCTGGAATTGCAATAGAGTTGTAATTCTCTTGACTTGGAGGTTACTCTCAGTCACTTTTTTAGTGTTGTAATTGCCAGTGCCATCTTAATGAATGATTGATTATTTCTCTGCGTAGAACAAAAATGAGGCTTGGAAAATGGGAGAATGTTTTTTTTTTAGTAAGAGATGATCTTAATCTATGATCTATGTTTTAATATTCAAATTATTTATTTTTTAATATTCTTGTTATGGTTTTATATTATGTGTTAATGTTTTTAAATGTTTTATGGTGTTTTGGGGCATCGAATTGTTGCCATTGTAAACCGCCCTGTGTCGCCTCAGGGCTGAGAAAGGTGGTATACAAATACAGCAAAACCAAATAACATTCCGTTTTCTGTTCTTGAGTTTGGAGTAGAGCAACTGCTTTGGGAGACGATGGTCTGGCATCCGGACAATGTGGCCGGTCCAGCAGAGTTGATGGCAGAGGACCATCGCTTCAGTGCTAGTAGTCTTTGCTTCTTCCAGCACGCTGACATGTATCCGCTTGTCTTTCCAAGAGATTTGCAGGATTTTTCAGAGGCAACACTGATGGAATCGTTCTAGGAGTTGCATGTGACGTTTGTAGACAGTCCACGTCTTGCAGGCGTACAGCAGGGTTGGGAGGACAATAGCTTTATAAACAAGCACCTTGGTATCCCTACAGATGTTCTGGTCCTCAAACACTCTCTGCTTCATTAGGAAAAATGCTGCACTTGCAGAGCTCAAGCGGTGTTGTCTGAAGAATGGAAAAGTCTGTGGTGATAACCCAACCTTTGAATGAACGAAGCATTTATTACGATCAAGAGATCAGACAAAAAGCAAGTAAAACTTTAGTAATGGACCGATTTTTCTCCCTCAGCTAAAAAAATCTAATGAGCTGAGCTGACAGTGCAGTTCAACCCTGAGAGTTGAATTGGAAAGGGAACAAAGAAAGGAACAAGAAAGTAGTAAGATGAGACAGTCATTCAGTGAGGAAAGCAACATTTAACAACAGTGAAGGGGAACTGCGCCCTCTCTTTCTTGGTCATGCAACACTGAGTCACCAGGCCCAGGATTAGGGTAGATTTCCACTTTCGTTCATTTTCCAATTATGGTGTGTTCTGCTTTTGTGAGAAACGGTTCCTTCGCTTTTCAGAAAGTCAGAATTAGCAAAGACAAATGTGCAGTTCTATGGCTGGGCTTTAGTATCCCATTCGTTTGTAAACTAGCACAGCGGATTATTATCATAAACTGTCTGGATTTTGTGTGTGTAGCATAAGCTGCGCCTCAAAGGTGTCACAACCTTGAAGTATGATCCATATTTTGAAAATCAGAAACAAAAGTCAGTCCGAGTCGCCTTCGGGCTGAGAGGGGCCATATATAAATATAAAAAGGTAAAGGTAGTCCCCTGACATTAAGTCCAGTCATGTCTGACTGGGGTGTGGTGCTCATCTCCATTTCTAAGCCAAAGAGCCAGCATTGTCCGTAGACACTCCAAGGCCATGTGGCCGGCATGACTGCATGGAGCGCTGTTACCTTCCTGCCGGAGCAGTACCTATTGATCTACTCACATTTGCATGTTTTCAAACTGCTAGGTTGGCAGAAGCTAGGGCTGACAGCGGAAGCTCACGCCGCTCCCCAGAATCGAACCTGCGACCTTTCGATCAACAAGCTCAGCAGCTCAGGGCTTTAACCTGCTGCGCCACTGGGGGCT